CAAAGGCCTTTAGCCACTAGGCCACCATGCCAGACCCGACAAATAAGTGTATATTTAAAAAATGTACATGACAGTCCTTGTTAAGATGAAATCAGTTCAAGTTGACACAATGGTTCAACTGCTCGTTGCGTCAAAGGCCAGCATCCTACATAAGGGCCGGTTTGTGACCTGGCTGCTCCACTTCCCATCCAGCTCCCTGCTTATGGACTAAGAAAGCAGTGGAGGACGGCTCAAAGCGTTAGGACCCTGAACCTATGTGGGAGACCCAGATGAAGCTGCCGGCTCCTGACTTCAGACCAGCTCAGCTACAGCTGTCGTGGCCATTTGGGAAATGAACCAACAGATGGAAGATTATCTTTCTGTTTCAACTCCTCTCTGTAAATGTCTTTCCAAAACAAATAAATAAATCTTTTTTAGAATTGGTCTCAGTTCAAGGAAACACTTGAAAACCAATGGGTAAACAAAATTAAAGTGGGTGAGGGTTGTTTGGGCTTAGACGCAGCATCAACTGGAATCTGGGAGTGGGAGAGGCCTGGGAGGGAAATAGTGGGCTCACCCCTCTTGGGTTACCACTTCCACAGGACATAAAACTAAGATAACTAAGATAGCGGCTGGGGTGGAATGGGGTGTGGGACAGACTGGATTACTGCTACACTTACTGGAAAACCAGGGTAGGGGGTGGGCCTGGCGGGGGTTATTGTGGGTCGCTCCAACCTAGGCTGCAGCTCCCGCTGGTTTATGTGAGGGCCAAGTATGTGCTGGGCAGAACTAGGCTGGACTGCAACACCCATTGGTTCCAGTGGAAGTCGGGAGTGAAAACAGAACCAACCCAGCAACTGCAACCACCAGCTGATTGGAGCGATGGACGGTGCCAGGCCCTGTACTTGTTAGCACATACAAGAAGTCTCTTTGGAGATCTTCCTAATCTAAATGCTGGACTCAGAACCCTAACGAAGAAAAGAGAGAAGACAGAATGGGTCAACCAACCATCTCAGCTATGATGGACTATGTCAATCAGTGGATTCTTCAAAGACCTCATAGTGCTTGGAGTGGCAAGATTGGCAGCAATTTATATCTGGTGAACCATCAAAACCACTTGAGCAAGAACCTCAGAGCATGCCCTACGTCCGGGACCTGGGGAGGGTGGGAAATTGGGTGGGGCTTCTCCCTTAAATAACCCCCTTTAAACATGAAGGTAACAATATGGAAAACATACTAGTATTATCCACTTTCATGTAGCCCTTGAACCTTCTTACCCTAATTAACTATGTAAAGAATGTCAAAATAAAAAATAAATTAAGATAAAAAAAAAAAAAAGAAAACCAATGGGTAGGTAGGCATCCTGTATCCGGTGCCAAATGGAACCTCGTGGAATTCGGGCCTCTTGTCTTCAGTGTGCTGCAGACTTGGATGTTGCGGGCATTTTCAGAGTGAAAAAGAAAATAAAAGTTGTCTCTCTCTTTTGAGAAGTTAAAACTAAATACTTAAAGAAAAATAAACAGGAACATTTCAAAGAATGCACAAATGCCCTGAAGGGGTACCCATGGGCTGAGTGAAGGATAAAATAGCAAGAGAAATGACAATGATGATAAAGAATATGATGCCCTCTTTAAAAATCTATGAGTTCACAGAAACACGAAGAAAACCAAAGAGGAGAGTGCGTGAAGACAGCTCTTTATTGTTTTAAAGGGAAGTCAGAATCTTGGCTGAAAATTCTTTTTAATTCTTTGAATATATTTTTGCTAAGACTTTTTTTTTGTTTTTCAAAAGGAAGAAAAACAGAGAAAGATAGAGAAAGAATGCCTACCCTCTGTTGGTACATTCCCCCAATAGCTGCAGTGGCCAGGGCTGAGCAAAGTCAAAGCAGGACCCTGGAACTCCACCCAGGTCTCCCATGTTGGAGCAGGAACTCGAGTATCGGGGCCACCTGCTGCTGCTTTCCAAGGTGCGTTAACAGGAAGCTGCCTCAGAATTGGAGCAGCCGGTACTCAAACCAGCACTGCTATGGGGTGTTGGCAGGGGCTGCTTAGTGCACTGCACCACAGCACTGGCTTGGAAAAGCTCTTCTTTACAGAAGAATGCCAGTGAATAAATTTGGAAGAATAGTAAAGTTGAAAAATCACCATTTAACGGCTGCCTGCTAAATAACTAATAGAGGTGAGGCTCCTCAGAGGATGTGCATGCACTGGTGTGAGATGGCAGGGGAGTCACATGGTCTCCACGTAATCATCCCGTGCATGACTCATCAGTTACAAGGCTAGCAAAGGAGAGAGGGTTCTATATCAATGAAGTGATTGGAGCTTAGCTTCCCCAGCAATGGGACGAGCTCGCAGAATTTTGCTCCTAAAGTAATGCAACATGAATACATCACTTTTACAGTGTTTTCTTTATTCTAAAACAGTAAATCTGCAATATTTATTCTACATAAATTCTACAACTATTCCAGATTGTATAAAATGGTAATATCAGACTCAGCGCTGTAGCCTAGCAGCTAAAATCCTCACCTTGCACGTGCCAGGATCCCATATGGGCACCAGTTCTAATTCCAGCAACCCCACTTCCCATCCAGCTCCCTGCTTGTGGCCTGTGAAGGCTGTCGAGGATGGCCCAGGGCCTTGGGACTCTGTGCCTGCCTGCATGGGAAACCCAGAGGAGGATCCAGGCTCCTGGCTTCGGATCAGCGCAACTCTGGCCATTGCGGCCAATTGGGGAGAGAACCAAAGGACAGAAGATCGTCCTTTCTGTCTCTCCTCCTCTCTGTATATCTGGCTTTCCAATAAAAATAAATAAATCTTTAAAAAAATGGTAATATCATGAAAGCCCACCCCAGGCAAAAAAAAAAAAAAAAGGTAGGGAATTTTTACAAGATTCATGATTAATAAAACATAACAACCAAAGCAAGTGATTAGATCATGACTGGATTCTGCACTAAACAGAAAAGCAGTTAGAAAGGTCATTTTGAGGACAATTAAGAGAAGTTGGAATATATACTGTGTCCTGGGAAATAGTATCACATCAGTCATTAAGTTTCTTGGATGGATAATTATGTTCTTGACTTGTTAGAGAATGGTTTGTTCTTACATGCCAGGATATCTGCAAGTTACTTTCATCAAAAGGCTTAGAAAAAAGGAAATATTTCATGGAAGGGGGGGTGTGGCATTGTTGCATATAATGAATTAAACCTCAAAGGCATCAGAAGATGGCCCAAGTGCTTGAGCCCTTGCCAACATTGTGGGGAACCAGACCAGGATGAAATTCCCAGCCTAGGTCAGATCTGGATATTGTGGCCATTTGGGGAGTGAACCAGCAGAAGGAAGATCCCTTTCTCTTTCTCTGTTACTCTTTCAAATGAGTGGTATAGTGGCATAGTCACTGGAGTGCCTGGTGTCTTGGCTACTTTGCTTCTTTCCCAGATTTCTGCAAATGCTCACCCTTGGAGGCCGTGGTGATGGCTTAAGTACCTGGGTCCTCATCATCCATGCGGGAGACCCTGATTGAATTCTGGGATCCTATTTTGGCCTGGCCCAGCCCTGGCTGTTGAGCACATTGAGGGAGTGAGCTGTCACATGCAAGATCTGTCTTACCAGATTTTCTACCATTGTCTGTACCTACAACACCATGATGCACTTCAATGGCAAAATGTCAGATTTGTAACTAAAGGGCTATACTATAATGTGGAGGAAGTAGTGGGAAGGGTAGAGGGGGAAGGAGAAAGGGGAGGCCAAGGTTGGAATCCTTACAAAACACTCTCACGGAAAATACTAAAATAATAATAAAAGATCTCTTTCTGCCTTTCAAAGAAAAATAAACAAATAAAATATGAGAAACCAGCAGCAAGCCGGGAAAGTATTGACAATCTGCCAGAGGTAAATGAATGTTAACTGTGTTTGTCTTTCAACTCTGACATCAACAGAAGCAGCACTCAGCTAAGGAGTCTGGAGAGGACACCACAGCTTTGCTCCTCTCGCGTGCAGCACAGCACTCTGCTGCGAGGTCATGCAGCGGCCACCAGTGGGGTGTAGCTCACTGCAGTTCTCATGCTGCCTACAGGAGCACCCAGGATGAGGGCTCAGTCCTCCAGGCTGCCTCCCGTTTAAGTTGCCAAATGTGAAACCCAGGTTGTGACTTACACTTCTGGCCATCCAGCCATTTAATCAGGATTCCTGGGTCCATTCTTCAGGTTCAATTAGTCTGCTAGTGGTTACACATGCACCCGTTTTGTTTTGAACAAAGGCTATAATGGAGACTGTGGATTGACTGCTAGAGGGAAGAGACACCCAGGGTGAGGTATGGGGCAGGGGCCTCCGTGGCCTCCCTGGGGGTACTGCACCTTGCAGTTATCTCCACATACTCAGAAGTGCAGAAGCACTTGAACCCTGTCCATTTTGGTTTTTATGGGAGCTTTATTACACTGGTCACTGGTGATCAGCACAACCTTCAGTCTCTCCCTCCCATGCCCCTACCCCTACCCAGAGAGCAGGGGGTGAGACTGAATGTCTCAACACCCTCGTCATGACTTGGTCTTTCTGTCAACAGCCACCCTTCCAAAGCCATGTTGGAGCCCAGCACTGCCAGTCATCAGGATACAAAGCCCACTGCCTGCCTTTCTGGCCTTCAGACACATCCATGTTCAGTGTCATGACCCAGGCTCTGCATCTGTCCTTCCCTCTGTCAGACACTCCTCCCCACTGCCACCACCTGCTCCTTGTCTTTCAGGTCTCATGTTAAAGGTCATTGTCTGACCATCCCTTTGTATCTAATGTTCTGTACCATCTCCTTTCACCTCCCCCCTCCAACCGATCCCTTTCACTCTGGGTTATTTATTATCTTTAAAACTCTTAGGTTATCTTAAAATATCTCCTTTGCTTGCTTATTAAACCCTTGCATACCTCCCTAATACAGTACAGGCTCCAGGCAACCTGCGTCTTTGCCTGTGAGATCAGTAAGTGCGCTTTGGCAGTTACCTTCAGTGTCCGTACAGGTCCCACTCCATCTTGCAGGTCGCGGAGTGTCGCTGTACATCCCCCAGTCCACCATCAATGCCACCGTCCAAGAGGACATCCTGCTCTCAGTTGAATACTCCTGTCACGGCGTGCCCACCATCGAATGGAGGTATACGTCCAGCTGGGGAGTGCAGAAGATCGTGGAGTGGAAGCCAGGGACGCAGGCCAATGTCTCCCAGAGCCACAGGGACCGAGTCTGCACTTTCGACAACGGCTCCATCCAGCTCTTCAGTGTGGGCGTCAGGGACTCCGGCTACTACATCATCACGGTGACGGAGCACCCGGGAGCAGCCAGTTCGGCACCATTGTGCTGCACGTGTCTGGTAAGATGGCCCCAAGGGCCTGGCCACCCCAGGGTGTGAACTGCCAGGGTGTGGGAGGCCAACTTCATGATATTAAGACACATTCTCACCCCCTCCCCAACACAGAGATCCTGTACGAAGACCTCCACTTTGTTGCCGTCTTCGTCGCATTTCTCATTACTGTGGCCGCAGTGTTAATCAGCCTCATGTGGGTTTGTAATAGGTGTGCATATAAATTCCAGAGGAAGAGAAGACACAAACTCAAAGGTAACTTCCCTAGGCTTTGCCCTAATCCAGTCCTGGTTTTGAGGCCACAGGTGGAGCGTGTTATCTCGTTCTCATCAAGAAACCACCAAGAAGCTCATTAACTTATGTTTTGCTTTGCAGAAAGCACAACAGAAGAGATTGAACTGCAAGATATTGAGTGTTAGCCAGAGGCTGGACTCAATGACATTCCTACCTCAAGAGGAAAACACCATTTTCCAAAAAAAAAGACACAAACACAGCCAGTCCCCTCTACAGCCTCCCATGGACCTGCCACAGCAGCCATTCCTGATGGGAAAGCTGCCAAGTTCACAGAACAGACTGCATAGGTTGGACGGACACAGTCGTAGGACTTGCACCGAGTTTACGGTGAAAAGTGGGAGCTTTGCTCAGCGTCAGGGTCATGCTGACCCAGAACAAACTGCATGGTGCAGGCACTGGCTGCTTGTTGAAGACACTCATTTGTGACACCTGCGGGAGGAGTCCCTGTTCCAGAGACCAGAGTATTTCAAGAGGCGTGAGTGCAGCCTCATCAGAACAGGTTGGGTCTTAGCATCCGGCACACTGCTGTACCCTCCAGCCCCCCACCTTGGGTCCAAATAGCACTGCTGTGGGAGCTGTCATGAGGCTCTCACAGGAGACACATAAAATTTTAGGGAGAGTAACTCACTGGATACAAGTGATAGGGGAGAAAAATACATTTTCTCCACTTCAACATTGGCTTTCTCCCTCCTCCTGCCCAGGTGTAGGCCAGCATGACGCAAATGACCTCTAGCCACTACAGGTAGCACCTGGCCTCCTGACAAGCGTAGTGATACACTCAGTGTGAAAGTGGCCCCTGCATGGTGGGCACCTCTGTGGGCATGGTGGGCACAGTCACAGACTGTGTCTCCTGTCAGGCCTCTGCCCTGTCCCACCTGGCCTTTGCCTACCTCATAGTGTATCAAGAAAAGCTCACAACATGCATGGAGTTCATGGAGCAATTTAAGAAAAGCATGGGGCGGGGGGAAAGGAAAGCATGGACATTTTTCAGCGATCTGGAAAGGGCTACATTAACTGAGTATTAGAAATTAAGACAGGCTCCAGATGAGACTGAGGACTAGACCTTCCCTGGCCTTGACCTTATTCCTCAGGTTTTTGGTCACAATGTTTACCTGTTTGTTTCTCCATCCCAGTTCACATTTGGCAAACCGTAAGTGTAGGTGTGGATTTATTTTTCCCTTCTCCTTTCCCCTCTCAAGGAGTCACAGCTACACACCAAGGGTACCAGGCAGATTACGGAGGTCACGGGCATGAGCTATGTTCCCAGCTCTCATCTGCAAATAAACCCATGTGCAGGAATGAAGCGGAATTTCCCAACCACTCTCAGAAGGCCCATTGGAATAAGCTGCCAAAGATGCAACGGGTGAAAACATATACATGTTTGTAAAAAAAAAAAAAGTGAGAGGAGAAAAATCACATCAGGAAATCTTAGAACTAAAAATCATTCAGAAGTTGATACCCCGTTTCCATAGAGGAGGAGACGAGGGAACATAGGCATGTTGGGGTTTTGTCAATGACTACTGGTGTGTGTGCAGAGCGGTGAGGGGATGGAGAATGCTTGAGACAGAACTTAGCATGTTAAAAAGATTCTTTTCTTGGGGGACCAGCACAGTGACATAGCATGTCAATCCTCCCACCTGTGGCATGGGCATCCAATATGGGCACTAGTTCATGTCCCAGCTGCTCCTCCCTGCTTATAACCTGGGAAAGCAGCAGAGGATGGCTCAAGTCCTTGCTCCCCTGTACCTACATGGGAGACCCAGAAGAAGCTCCAGGATTGGGATCAGCTCAGCTCTGACCATTACAGCCATCTGGGGAATGAAGCAGCAGATGGAACACCTCTCTGGCTCTCCTTTTCTCTCTGTATGATGAGCCTTTCCAATAAAAATAAATAAACCTCGGGCCCAGCACGACACTGTGATGGTTAAAGTCCTTGCCTTGAATGCGCCAGGATCCCATGTAGGTACCAGTCCTAATCCCGACAGCTCCACTTCCCACCCAGCTCCCTGCTTGTGGCCTGGGAAAGCAGGAGAGGATGGCCCAAAGCCTTGGGACCCTGCACCCGTGTGTGAGACCTGGAAAAAAGTTCCTGGCTCCTGGCTTCGAATTGGCACAGCACCGGCTCTTGTGGTCACTTGAGGAGTGAATCATCAGATGGAAGATCTTCCTCTCTGTCTCTCCTCTCTGTACATCTGTCTTTCCAATAAAATAAATAAATCTTTAACAACAACAACAAAAAAACAAATAAATAAACCTTTAAAAAATTATCTTGGAGCCCGGCGGCGTGGCCTAGCGGCTAAAATCCTCACCTTGAACATGTCAGGATTCCATATGGGTGCTGGTTCTAATCCTGGCAGCCCCACTTCCCATCCAGCTCTTTGCTTGTGGCCTGGGAATGCAGTTGAGTTTCAGATCTCTTTCTAAATAATGCATCCAGAGCTACCAACAGGGACAAGTGCTATTGGTGATCCAGAGAAGGGCTCCATAGCACTGCACTGAGTCCAGGAGGCAAGAGGGGGAACTGTTCTGCACCATCAATTGGTAGTTCTTGCACTTGACACAGAAGGTACCACCCAGCCACAACCAACTCTTGTGCACCCAAGTGTGAATACACACTTCTGTGTCCTTCCCCCAGGCATCAGCCATTAGACGCCCCAGACCCTGGACAGTTTCTAGTGCCATGTAGACACAGGGTGAGAAGTAAGGAGAGGGAAAGTGATCCAGGAATGAACTGAGTCTACTTGGCTCATGCGAAGTCGCTTGCAGCTGGGTAGCTGCCAGAGCATGTGACCACTTCTACACCTGCTGCTTTTCACAGCTTGACCCCTCCACTTGTCAGCAATCAGGGCAGTGACCTTCAAGATTCAAGGAGAGGGCCTGGCAGCATGGCCTAGAGGCTAAAGTCCTCGCCTTGAACGCACTGGGATCCCATGTGGTGCCAGTTCTAATCCCGGCAGTTTCACTTCCCATCCAGCTCCCTGCTTGTGGCCTGGGAAAGCAGTCGACGACAGGCCAAAGCCTTGAGACCCTGCACCTGTGTGGGAGACCTGGAGGAAGTTTCTGGCTCCCAGCTTTGGATCGGCACAGCACTGGCTGTTGCAGTCACTTGTGGAATCATCAGATGGAAGATCTTCCTCTTTGTCTCTCTTCTCTGTAAAAGTGACTTTCCAATAAAAATCAATAAATCTTTTTTTTTTAAAGGACTCAAAGAGAAATGACAAAGAATACCCAGTGAGAAGCCCCCGTGGGCAAACTCAGATATGAATTATGCAGTCCCCTAGAAACTTGCTGAAAAATTACCCCCTCGGCTTTCTACTTGTGGGGAAAAGAGTTTATCTGCACTTTCAAAGCTCCCTTCATCCAGACTATTATTGTGGAAAGTTTTGCACTCCAGAATGGGAGATTTTTGTCTGTTTTTCAGAGAATATTAAATCAGAGACTGGCCAGTGTAAATGTTAAGCTATAAATTATGTTTCAAACTGTGAAAAACATGTTTTAAAGAATCAAAGAAATAAAATCTGAAAATGAAGCCTTGACATTTGTGTGTGAGCCTCATCCTTCCACAAACTGGAGAGGCCGTGCTGCTGTTCCCATCCAGTGCTGAGCACAGACATCTGTGAACCTGCGACTACAGCCATGGCACATGTGTCAAATGACAACACAGCTCATCACACTGGCTCTAACAGTGAGCAGTCGCTGTAGGAAAACACCTGAGTAGCACCACTGTTCTCCCCAACCAATCTGAACTCTGTGCTTCCAGAACATTAGGTGTAATTCAAGAAAGGCCTGAAACCATCTCGTTCGACAGTATGTTTTCTCTGAAATCATGATGGAAGAACCCAAGAAGGTCTACCTTGTACTTCCTCATCTCAGGATGCTCCAGGTATGCCAGGAGAATGCAGGGAACCCACGTGCCCTTAGACCCTGGAAGATGGAAAATACCTGAGAGCTCTTCAGCTTTCCAGCAGAAGCAAAGCAGCGGAGGAGCAAAGGCAGTGAGAGATGTTAGCAGCTCGCTCCGTGCAGGCGTGCAGACAAGCTCTGAAGAGGCTACAGCTCAGAACTGGGTAAATGAAGCCAGGAGTATGGAAGAGGTGACAGAACCAAATGCCTGAGACCAAGAACTAAATCTGAGTATGAACCCCAAGCTGTGTTGCCATCCTAACCCTCTCAGCACCAGATAGGATAGGGGGACAAGAGAGACCACCTGCCCTCGCTGGCTTGTGTATATGCATATGGGTTTCATCTGCCCAGTTTCCAGGGAACCAGCAGACTTGTCTATAAGCTTATTAAAACCAGAGGAGAGCCCTGTGTTTACTGTTGACAGGTCTATGCTCAACTCAATTCCTGCTCAAACAAGGTACAGCTTACAGGTGCCTTCCTCTGTACAGCTGAATCTACCTGTCCCAGTCGTCAGCCGCCAGCCTTGAGAACACAGCTCAGATCACTTCTGCTGCTGCTTTGAAAAACCGAATGCTATTAGAAAGGATGAAATCTCATTTACAACAACATGGCTGGAACTGAAAGTCATTGAGTGAAATAAGCCATGTCCATGAAAGTGAAAAAAACAGATTAGCTCATACAAGACAAAAATATGATTGTGGTTAGCAAAGACAGGAGGGAAGTGAGAAGGGACTGGAGGAAGTTGATTGACAGGAACTAGGTTAAAGTTTAGGGTTCTATTGCATAGAAGGATAAAGGAAGTTAATTTATTGTGTATTTTCCTATTTAAAAAAACAAATAAAATATAAGGAATGTTAAACATTTCAACAATGTTGGGGCACACTTAAATAACAGACTGATGGACTTTATGAAGCACTATACTATTGTTTTTTGTTTTTTTAAATTACACTGCATTATGTGACACAGTTTTATAGGCAATGGGAATCCCCTACCCCTCCCCAAATGGTGGATTCCTCCACCTTGTTGCATTACCACAGTTCAAGTTGAGATTCTTTCATTGCAAGCATCTACCAAGCATAGAGTCCAGCATCTTATTGTTCAGATAAGTTGAACGGCTTCTTGGGGAGACCATCTCTGGTCTGAAGGTAGAGCTGGCATGAAGCACTATACTACTGTATTGTAGAGCACTTTATGAAGCACTATACTATTGTTACTAATATCGGGAAAATTAGTTGGGGAGTGGGAAAATCCCAGACCCTATAAATGCCATAAAATTCAAAATAAAAAACAAATATAAAAAAAGAGAAATGGGCCTGGCGTGATAGCATAGTGGCTAAAGTCCTCACCTTGAACGCGCCGGGATCCCATGTGGGCGCCAGTTCTAATCCTGGCAGCCCTGTTTCCCATCCAGCTCCCCACCTGTGGCCTGGGAAAGCAGTTGAGGATGGCCCAAAGTCTTGGGACCCTGCACCTGCGTGGGAGACCCAGAAGTTCCTGGTTCCTGGCTTCGGATTGGCTCAGCTCCAGCCATTAGGGCCACTTGGGGAGTGAATCATCAGACGGAAGATCTTCCTCTCTGTATATCTGCCTTTCCAATAAAAATAAATAAATCTTTAAAAACAAAAAATGAAATTTATAATTCTTAAAAAAAAAAGAGAAATGTTAAGCATTTAAAAGAGTGAA